CCGTCTTCAAGGAAAATACCTGGTATATGCTCCGCAACCCGTGGGTTACACTTAGGTACACTTAGGAGCTTGTTCCTGGTTTGTGCTCTGAAGGAGTCTACGGTGGTTATGGTATCGGCTGGAGTGCTGGAAGCCCTCAAGAAGCGCTAGGAGCATCCTCCAATGGAGGTACCCAGTCGGGGTGTCCGTCAATCTGTTACAACCATAAAACCTGTACATGCGGAGTACTGTTATACTCAGGAGACTTCGCTGAACACAAAAATTAGTGTTTCTAAATAGTAAAACGTATCACAACAATTATCTCGTCTGCGTAATTGCCATTTGTGTGTAAAAAAAATGTAACTTTCATTGACCATATCATCGTTGTAATACATTTTACTACTTTGAAACACTAATATTTGTGCTCAGCGAAGTAAAACCGTACCCCCTATGTACAGGTTTTATGGTGTCTTGGAAAGTTACAGGGTTAAATACAGTGCTAGCAAATTAAATTCCCTGGACTTTTGGCCTGGGTTGTCAGGCAGGTCCTGCAATCTGTAATTAATAAAATGACCTAATTATGTAAAACTATTACATAAATAAATATATGTGTGTGTATGTGTATATATGTGTGTGTGTGTGTGTGTGTGTGTGTGTATATATGTGTGTGTGTGTGTGTGTGTGTGTATGTATATATATATATATGTGCATCAAGATGTGCTCTGTTCACTATTTGCTGTGTATATGTGTGTGTGTGTGTGTGTGTGTGTGTGTGTGTGTATATGTATGTGAAAAGAGGAGTCAAAAGTTGTAATCCAATATATATATATTTTTTAATGAGGGAGAAGCAACAAAGCAGAGGCAGCCCAGGTGGTTAGGCGCAGTCCTGGGAGGATTTAGTGCAGGGGAGAATGAACCAATGTATATTCAGGGGGAGGATAGGGACAACCAGGAGGAAATTGAGAATGTAACAACCTATGATGAACAGCGTCAGTTGTGTTCACATTGTGGATGATGATGAGAAATAAACATCTGAGTGCATTCTTCCCGCAAATATCTATTCATCATCATCCCTTCTGGGGAGACCCTGCGCACGTCGTTCACGAACTAGGCTATCTACATCAGCAATGGTTATGCCCAAATTATGGGCAGCTTGGGCAGGCATTAGAATGCACTGTTCCTCCCTCATTTCCATAAAGCGCTGCATATTTCGATCCAAGGAAACCATTGCTGATGTAAATTGCCTAATGCCCTCATTCAAAATGTTCGACATGGAGCGTACCTTGGTTATTACATTCTGCAATAATTCTCGCTAATTCTCCCTATCCTGCTGTATGGATGTCTCCAGTTCAGCTTGACAAGTCTGGATCATCGCATACAGCGCAGCCAACGGTGGAGGAAGTTGTGGCAACGGCATTTCTTCGGCCACTGATGCCACTGAATCAGGATCTACTGCTGTTACGGTAATGGTAACCTCCTCTTGCAGGGGGAGAGTACCATCAGAATCTATAGGGGAGAATAGAGAGAGAACATTGTTAGCATGTGTCATATGTTTCAATGCTTACTATTATCTGTACAACAATAATATTTAAACTTGGAAATAAGATATATGCAGTCATGCTATTAATTTATTATTATGTCTAAGTAGAGTTATGCATCTTTGTCCCCCCTAGCCCTTTCTCTGTCTCTTTGTGACCTCTCAACACATGTCTTTGTGCCCACCTCCCTTTCCTTCTAATCTCACTACATGTATCGTGGCCGAGCGTCCCCAGGTAGAGAATCTCCTGTTTCTTCTGCATGACAGAAAGCTGATTGTTGCACTCAGCTTCCTGTCAGGCCAAGTAGACACGTGGTCCACTCAGCCACAGTACATAAAGTGAGCAGAATGTCACCTAGACATTGAGCCCCCTGGCCAGTGCGTCCTAGGCAGACGCCTAGTTTGCTTAGCGGTCGACCCGGCCCTGCCTGTTACATAAATTAGTATACCTGCAAAGAAAATGTGTACTGTTAAAGCATTTTTTACTTACGCTCAGCAGTGGATCCCTGTTCCTGGACACGAGTGGCCGGCTGTTGGAGAGAAACCACACTCCTATGTGGTGAAGGAAGGTCGACAAGTTGCGGATGGTCTGAAATACATGTATGTGATAAATTAACTTCATATACAGTAAAATCACATACGTGTGTGTATGTTTACATACACACATACACACATACACACATACACACATACACACATACACACATACACACATACACACATACACACATACATATATATATATATATTCATTTATCTAACAATGCTATGCAAGTACTTACGAGAGGAAAGTGAAGCCAGGCGCAATTGCAGGAGACAGGAGGTGAACCTGCTGCCCTGCTCTCCATGGAGACAGCATCTCCTGCAGTTCCTCGTGCCTCTTCTGGGGATTGAGGGGCTTGCACTGATGACATAGAAAACACACATTGGGGGGTTAACACAAGAAAACTGATATATGTACATTTTGATTAACAAATATGAATTTAAAGGATCACTATAGACACCCAGACCACTTCAGCTCAATGAAGTGGTCTTGATGCCAGGTCCCTCTAGTTTAAAGCCTGCAGCTGAAAACATAGCAGTTCTAGAGAAACTGATGTTTCACTGAGGGTTAATCCAGCCTCTAGTGGCTGTCTCACTGACAGCCACTAGAGGCACTACCGCGATTCTCAATGTGAAAATCACAGTGAGAAGATGCTGGACGTCCATAGGAAAGCATTGAGTAATTCCTATGGGCGGTTTAAATGCGCGCACGGCTCTTGCTGCGCATTCGAAGCTGACGTCGGCAGAGGGAGGAGTGTTCCCCAGCGCCGAGGGAGCCCAGCGCTGGAGAAAGGTAAGTGGCTAAAGGGGTTGGAACGCGAACTTCCGCAAATGTTCGCGAACCGCCATAGACTTCAATGGGCAGGCGAATTTTAAAACACACAGGGACTCTTTCTGGCCACAATAGGGATGGAAAAGTTGTTTCAAGGGGACTAACACCTGGACTGTGGCATGCCGGAGGGGGATCCATGGAAAATTACACAGTTGATGCAGAGTCTGGTTTTAATCCATCAAGGGCAGAAATCACCTAACATTCCTAACTCACAATGAATATGGATTGACATATGACATACTGACACCTTGACATATGGATTGACACCTGTCCTAAGGATCCCTGATACACACTGACACCGAGCAGAATAGGGACTGTTCCTCCTACATAGGGTCACTTGGCAGATATGGATCGACACCTGTCCTCAGAGCACCTGATACACACTGACACAGATCAGAATAGGGACTGTTCCCCCTACACTTGGCAGATATGGATTGACACCTGTCCTAAGGATCCCTGATACACACTGACACCGAGCAGAATAGGGACTGTTCCTCCTACATAGGGTCACTTGGCAGATATGGATTGACACCTGTCCTCAGAGCACCTGATACACACTGACACAGATCAGAATAGGGACTGTTACCCCTACATAGGGTCACTTGGCAGATATGGATTGACACCTGTCCTAGGGATCCCTGATACACACTGACACAGAGCAGAATAGGGACTGCTCCTCCTACATAGGGTCACTTGGCAGATATGGATTGACACTGTCCACAAGGACAAGCTGCAGGCTTCCTGGCAGGGCCCATACAAGGTGGTAGAGCAGGTTTGTGATACCACCTTTTGTGATCGGTGCGGTCACAGGCACGGGAGGCAAGAGCATGCTCCATGTGAACATGCTCAAGCCATACCACGAGCGCACGGAAGAGGTAACCGCGATCTGTGCACCTGCCACTGAAGATTATGATAATTTGCCACTCCCAGATCTCCTAGACCTAGAGGGCCAGAGCGGAGACCTGGGAGAAGTACAGTTAGGAGAACGGTTAGACCCCCAGGAGCGAACCCAGGTCCAAAGACTAATCCAGGACAAGGGGGCCACGTTTTCCAACCTACCTGGGTACAGTCCGTTAACCACTCACAAAGTTGAAACCCTAGACCAGACCCCCCTTCGCCAAACCGCCTATCGCATACCCGAAGCAGTTAAAGAAAATATTCAGAAAGAAATTGAGGAACACTAGTGGTGTTGTGGAGAGAGGCACTGAGGCTAGTGGTGTTGTGGAGAGAGGCACTGAGGCTAGTGGTGTTGTGGAGACCGGCTTGGAGACTATGGTGAGGCCTAATAGAAAGCAGTTGTTGTTGTTGGGTGATTCCATCATAAGAGGTGTGGAGATGGACAATGGTGGTCTTGTGAGGTGTCTTCCTGGAGCTACTGCTCACAGGTGTCATATCTGTAATATTGTTAAGCAAGCAAAGCAGGAAGGGGAATTGGATGTACTTGTCCATCTAGGGACAAATGACTTGGCTTGCAATGAGGTTTCAGAGGTTAAGGAAGTTTTTGCCAATGATATACGGCAGGTTGCTTCCACACTGTCATTCTCTGAAGTTCTGCCTGTGCATAACACTCAGAACGACAGGCGGATGCGTATTAGGGACTTTAATTTGTGGCTTGGTGAATGGTGTCAGGAGCAAGGATTTGGCTTTATTTCTCAAGGTAGCTCTGTTTGGAATGGAGATAAGCTGTACAAAAAAGATGGTTTGCATCTTTCTCAAAAGGGAACAAATATTCTCAGTGAGCAGTTCAGAGGTTTTGCTAGGATGTATTTAAACTAGGAGGGGGGGGCAAAAGGGTGATAAAACATCCATCCAATTGTCCCCCAAAACAAGGACAGAAGGTGCCTGTAGCAAGTGTGTTTAAAAAATTATAAGCTTAGAGTCATGTCTACAAATTCTCGCAGTTTAGGGAATAAGATCCATGAACTTGTGGCAATAATGGCAACTGATAGTGTAGATTTAGTCGCTGTTACTGAGACATGGTACAATGAGAAAAATGACTGGGACAAAGCAATACCAGGGTACTCTTTATATAGGGAAGGCAAGAAAGGGGGAGGGGTGGCCTTGTATGTGAAGGATAGCATAAAATCTAGCCTAAAAAGTTAGTGAGGCAAACATAGAGTCCGTTTGGGCTACGTTAGAATTTGGTAATCACACAGTAACTCGTGTAGGTGTGATTTATAGGCCCCCAGGACAAATTGAAGAGTTAGATAATCTACTAGTTGAGGAAATAGCTAGAATGACAATGAAGGGGGAAGTTATCATCATGGGTGACTTTAATCTTCCTGATGTAAATTGGAAAACAAAACTGGCTACTTGTGCCAGGAGCACACATATTCTAAACTCCCTACTGGGATTGTCTCTAAAACAAGTTGTTGAGGAGCCAACTCGTAAAGAGGACATACTAGATTTAGTGTTAACAAATGGAGATTTTGTATCAGATATTACTGTAGGTGAATGTTTAGGATCCAGTGATCATCAGTCAGTGTGGTTTAATATAAGAACAGTGACTGAGTCACACCACACAAACAAAAGTTTTAGACTTTAGAAAAACAGACTTTTCTAAAATTAGAATATGGGTAGAGGAGTCATTATCAGACTGGAGCTATTTAAATGGAGTCCAAGAAAAATGGGATTATTTAAAAGTTGCACTATTGAAGGCAACAGAAAATTGCATTAGGCTTGTCAGTAAAAGCAAAAAATTCAAGAAACCACTGTGGTACTCCGCAGATGTGGCCAAAATAGTTAAAAACAAAAAGTTAGCATTTAGGAATTATAAAAAAACCCAGAGTGAGGAAGACAAAATGATCTATAAGATTAGGCAGAAAGAGGCTAAGCAAGTTATAAGAGCTTCCAAATCACACACAGAAGAGAAAATAGCACAGTCAGTAAAAAAGGGGGATAAAACATTTTTTAGATACATAAATGAGAAAAGAAAAGTAAAACAAGGATTAGTTGGATTAAAAACAAAAGAAGGAAGGTATGTAGAAGAGGATAAAGGTCAGGCTGACTGCTTCAATGAATATTTTTGTTCTCTATTTACAGAAGAAAATGAAGGAAAGGGACCTCAGTTGAGAAAAAGGATAAATGAGTCATTTATTACACGTGAGTTTACAGAGGAAGAGGTTCTATTTCAACTGTCAAAAGTAAAGACAAATAAGTCAATGGGACCTGATGGAATACACCCAAAGCTATTAAAATAGCCACTTGGTCCGGGAGAGGCCTACTTGCCAGCCTCCTCCCCTGTGACTATGACTCTTTCATCTATCTGGCTTTAAAGCCCCTAGTCTACCTTCAGACAGACTATTTATGTGGGCTGCTTTATTTATCCTATGTTTTAGTCACCCTGTACCCATTATAGGTGCAGGGTGTGTGTAATGTAATTGTTTATAGTGTGTGTGTGTGTACTGTGTAATGTATTGCCTGCTCTCTTGTATTGCTGAGGATTGCTACCAACTAGGTGGGTTTGGCTATGGAGCTGGTCTAGTGCCCTCTGTTGGTAGCAACAGCAATATGCACTACCTGAATTGCAAGACTGGTTCATTTGCATATTCGGGTAGATTTGCATATTGCTAATTCTGTAGG